GGTGCTGTTGTGTTTCGTATAGACGCGAACCACAGCTCTGGTGGTGGGGTGCAAGTGTCCATCCGTTGTAATTCTGGGTGTGGCCGAGTGACGGTGAAGGCCCGGTGGTGTGCTGTTGGCAGGTGTGCAACATATGCTGTAGGTCATGTTGAGAAGTCGCTGGCGGGCTGGGGTGGGCGCCGGAGGCTGGCGGCAGGAGCGCTCCGCTGCCAGGCAGGCGAGTAGCTGGCGGTGCTCGGTGTGAGAAATTGCCGGGCGGCCATGGGCACCCGCACCCGCACCCGCACCAGAGATGCAGCTGATGTGGAGTGGTGCACAACCTCGTCTTGGGCCCCAGGGCAGCTTTCAAGAGCAACTAGAGGACACAGCAAGAGCGTAAGCCCTGTCAAAGATGAAATTGAATTGACATACCTGGACATTTCGACGCGCCTGACCCAAAGCTTGTCAGATGCAAAATCGCGGCTTTCGCTCAAATCCGCGAACTGCTCCAGCCCTCATGCCTACAGCGTTCTTCAACACTCTATAGTTGGAGACACAATTATTGTGCACGAGCGAGATTGTTGACGCGACACCCACGTTGACAAGACAGCAACTTGCACCACCCAGCTCCTGCGCCAGGCGGCTGCACAGCGCTCAGGACCCCATGCAACCGGGCCATCTGCACATTCTGCGTTGAGGCGTAGAGGAACTTGAACGCGGCGAGGCGGGGCCGTCTGCACGTTTCATGTTGAGGTGAGCAACAAACACATGGTACTCTCACTGTCTGCTATCTGATTCATCACTCATGGGAGCACCTAGCAGATGAAGGCCAGGGGCACGTGAGGGAACGAAGCAAGTTAGTCGAGGGTGTGCACAGGTAGTGACCGACATACTAAATGTGATGTGCCAAACTGTGCTGCTGCTCGTGACACACGGGCTCGTGGCACACACATACACTGCCTGCGGGTAGAGCCAGGCGCTGTGGGTTGTTGGGCGGTCACGAACTTTGTGGTCAACGTGGTCAACTCGTGCTGGGACTGCTGCTGTCCAACGACTGTCGACATGCTGCCTCCAGCACGTGTATGTGGTGCAGCACAATATGCTGCACATCAAGTTTTAGCTGCGCAGCATGTTCATGGCTCTGAATTCTTGTTATCACAGTCCTTGGGTGCGGACTTACAAGCCTCCGACGGTGCAGCACCAGGTGCACACCAGCGGCAGCAACCGCCGCGATCCGTCATGCAATGCTCCTCGACTTGTCCTCACCATATCTGAACCATAATCCAACGCGTTCGCGATTTGCTTACATCAATCCCGCTGCCCAGCAGCACGGACAAGCGATGCAGCTCGGCCAGCAGCTCAGGGTGCCCCGGACAGCGGCAAGGGCTGCTTCTCGCGCGAAGAGGATGGTGCCATGCAAGGCTGCCAGCAGCGCGCAGGGTGGGTCACTTGCTGCTGCCTCCACGAGGCCCGCAGTGTCCACGGAGCCATGCAAACACCACCCGCGCGCCCAATTCCGCGCAGGCACTCGCCGAGCGACTGGGGATGATAAGTTGAAGCTCATCAATTCGGTGGACTGCTTCATCTTCGACTGCGACGGTGCGCGCCATGCCAAATCCGGCCAGTGCTGCTGCTGCTTGCTGCCGCGTCCGCCCGCAAGCTGAGTGCAAAGCGGGTGTCATGCCATGAATGTGCGCCCTGTGCAAACATGCGTAGGGTGAGCTGCCCTTCTGACGTATCGAGCCCCGCCTTTGGCGTCTCACATGCGCTGCTGTTGACCTGGTCTGCCCACTGAACTGCTTCTTGTCACGATCCCAGGCGTCATCTGGAGGGGCGATTCGGTGATCGACGGGGTTCCTGAGACCCTGGACCTGCTGCGGTCGCTGGTGAGCAGCTGGCCACCGCGCTAGGAGGGCAATATACAGAGCAGCAAGGCTCCCCGCAATCAACAGCTGGGGGACGCACTTGTTGAGCAGGGACTGGCTTGGGCGACCCCCTGCCGATCACGCCTCCGCGGTGCGTTGCGCCCTTACAGGGCAAGAAGCTGGTGTTTGTGACCAACAACTCCACCAAGAGCCGCGCGGGCTACCTCGGGAAGTTCACCAGCCTCGGCCTCAACATCAACGCGGTGGGTTGATGCACAGAGGTAGCTAGGGACTGCGTCGTGAGGTGGCTGGCAGGCGTTCCAGCCACACGCATCCCAGGAAAAGATTTTCCTGCATGCATGCAGCTGTGCAGCTCTGGGGTTCACATCAGCCATCTGTACGCTGAAGGCGGCCTTGGCGTTGGAGAGGGTCTCAGGATGGCAAAACAGCAAGCATCGACCAGCTTCTTTGCAAGAAGGGTATGATACAAGCAGCAGCCTCAGCAGCAGCAGCGACGCCGGTGACGGCGATGGCGGCGGCAGCGGTGGCGATACCAGAGGCGCCGCCAAGAAGCTGCAGCGGCAGCGGCAGCGGCAGCGGCAGCGGCAGCGGCAGCGGCAGCGGCAGCGGCAGCGGCAGCCATAGCAGAAGCGGGAGGCGCAGCTATGGCAGCAGCATCAGCATTCAGCCAGTGAATTCAGCTGTGTGTTGCCAGGTGCACCATCAGTATGGCGGCTGCAGCTCCTCCCACACAGGATCCATCCTGCTTGCGACTCACGACTGCACTCACCACCCACTGCAGGAGGAGATCTACTCTTCCTCTTACGCAGCGGCGGCCTACCTCGAATCGATCAACTTTGACAAGTCCAAGAAGGTCTACGTCATCGGCGAGACCGGCATCCTCGAGGAGCTCGACCTCAAGGGCATCCCTCACCTCGGCGGCCCGGCCGACGCGTCCAAGGTTGTGTCGCTCAAGCCTGGGGAGTTCATGGAGCACGACCACGACGTGAGCGGGGGGCGTTGAGGCTAGGGTGACGGCGTGGGTGGCGAGGCCCTTGCCTTGTCGCAGTCGAGGTGAATGGGGGCGGTCTCTTGTGGCAGCCACCGTTGCCGTCAAGGGTGAGTAAGGCGGCCAGCCAGCCACGCAAAACTGCCCTTCTTACAGGACGTGGCTGCAAGAATCGTGAGCCGTTGAATGCTGTGCCCACGCACGTGCCTGATGGGCGCCATCCAGGCGCGCCTCCCTGCCGCCTCACGCTGGCGCCGCCGCTGGGCCCACACCGCAGGTCGGCGCGGTTGTCGTCGGCTTTGACCGCAACATCAACTACTACAAGATCCAGTACGCCACCCTCTGCATCCGCGAGAACCCCGGCTGCCTGTTCATTGCCACCAACCGCGACGCGGTGACGCACCTGACAGACGCACAGGAGTGGGCGGGCAACGGCAGCATGGTGGGCGCCATCATCGGGTCCACCAAGAGGGAGCCCCACACCGTCGGCAAGCCCAGCAACTTCATGCTGCTCAACATCGCGGACCAGTTCGGCCTCAAGCCCGAGCAGATCTGCATGGTGGGCGACAGGCTGGACACGGACATCCTGTTTGGCCAGAACGGGGGCCTGGCGACGTGCCTGGTGCTATCGGGGGTCACGACTGAGGAGCAGCTGCTGTCGCCTGACAACAAGGTGCAGCCGGACTTCTACATGGGGCAGCTCTCTGATCTCATGGAGGTCAAGGAGGCCTTGACAGTGGCCGCGTGAGCGCTGAGAGTCGAGGGATGGACAGCGTGCGAGCGAGGGCCCGTCGAGGTGGTGGATTGTTGTAGTTTGTCGCATGCAAATTCATGCAGGCACCTGTCTGTGTTCCGGTCAGAGAGCTCGGAGCTCGAACACCCTGTATAAATGTGACAGAGTCGGGTGGCCTTTCCAAAGCAGTAATTTTTTTTGCGAGCGAGGCAGGCAAAGGGGAAGGTGGTGCGCTTTGGATTCCCTTGATTGGATTGTGAGAGGCGCTCATGTCTGGACACATACATCATGTCTCGGCCGGAATATCTGGCACCATTACAGCTTTTAGTATTGTAACAGCCTTCTAATGCTACGAACGGGTTCAGACAGGGTGCCGCAACAAGTGCCCAGCCCTCCCGTGGCAGGGATGGGATGCACGGTCTACTCGCGGGGGCAGGCGTGAGGGTGGGCCGCGTGGAGCAGGTAGGGTACGGCGAAAGATGGAAACAGAGGAGAGGGTTGCAAGGATAGTCTTCCCACATGCAGGATGTTGGATGAGTCTGGGTGTGTAAAATGACAGAAGGCAGCTGCCGCAAGGGATGCTTGATGATGTGCACATCGACGTGTCCCGACACCCACACGCGCAGACCCTTTCGCCTTCAAAATGATCTCTGCGTTCACAGTGCTTTGAAACATCCAACTTGCAGGCCTTTAGATCACTTCAGCAGGGCTTGGCTCGATCCAGGATTCTCTGCTCAGGATCGCAGCATAGCCTTATTTACAAGGCTTTGGCCTACACTACACCCGTGCGACACAGGGCTCGTCGTACCCATCAGCCAGGGCTTCGGCCTTGAGCACGATGTGGGGCTGGGAGCAGTTGTACTTCAACGTAAAAGATGGATACCTTGGTGCGTAACAGGCATGTTTTGGGCCACGCGGCCGATCGCTTGCCGTTGCTGCGCAACCCTTGCAGCAGGCGTCAAGTGCATTTGCTGACTGCCACCTCTGCTGCATGCTGTGCCCCGGCTATGCCTCTGGGCTCCCGCAGAGGCGATCGTCCGGGGGCACAAATCAGGCCTGCTTTCAGTGCCTGATTACAACAACTTGACACAATGCGAGGCGCTGGATGACATCAAGCTCAACCTGGTGCGGCAGCAGCAGCAGCCTCCTGTGTGCGCACCCAGCCGGAGAGCTGGGCACTCGTCTCGCGGGTTTGTTTGTGAGGGGGGGGGGCTGCAAATGCAGCAGCAGCTCTCCTGGCCAGCAATTTGCTGGCAGCAGGCGGCGAGCATGGCTGCGCTGCGATCCCAAGAGCAATAAAGCAGGGTTCAAGGCGCGACCCACCACCACGCTCGCGCGCACGGCCGACTCAATTGTTCACATGTGCAAACCTTACTCAACCCCAGACGGCAACGGATTATGGCGCGTACCTGGCCAATGAGGCGTCCCCATTGTTTACTTCGACCATCGTGGACCGCTGCACGCGCAAGCTGGTAGACGACTGGAACATGATGCGCTGCCAGGCCGACGAGAAGCTGGCAAAGTTCCTGGACTTTTGCACATACGGTCACATGATCGACAACGTGGTGCTGATCGTCACGGGGACGCTGCACGAGCGCGACGTGCAGGTGCATAAAGCATGAGTCGGCTTGTGTATGCAAGCATATGTGTGTACACGCGCGCGCATGTGCGTGTGTGTGTGTGTATGTGTGAATGTGCGTGCACGCGTTGGTGTGAATGTGCATGCCCGTTTTTTGTGTGTGTGTGTGTGTGTGTGTGTGTGTGTGTACCGGCATGCGTGCTGGCGTCCGTGCGAGCAGCTGTGTGCATGTGTCTGCACGCAGCATGCATGCTTTTGCACAAGGGGATCCCTGCAGGTCTTGCCAGGTCCTGGCACGGGGAAAGGACAGCAGCTGATCGTGCATATGCGCGGGCTGCATTTCGGTGTCACAGGCGGCGGCGGACAATGCTAAACTCTTGTGCCGCTTTGCGCAGGACCACACCCACCTCGCCCTCGTCCCCATCGTTTTCCCTTCCGTGTGCCCGCCCTTCCCCAGGAGCTGCTGGACAAGTGCCACCCCCTGGGCATGTTTGACAGCATCGCGACGCTGGCCGTGGCCCAGAACATGCGGGAGCTGTACCGCCTGGTCCTGGTGGACACCCCACTCGCGCCGTACTTCAGCGAGAACCTCACGCACGAGGACCTGGACGAGATGAACATCGAGATCATGAGGAACACGCTGTGAGGGGGGCGGGGGCAGTGTGCAGGGGGCAGTGGGCGGGTGTGGCGAGCCTGCGTGAGTAGTGCTCTTCCAGGGAGGCGCTTGCACATGGCAGGTTGAGAGTTTGACAAGCGACAAACACAATATTTAGGAGTTGGGTCGCGCAAAGCTGTTGCGTCTCTGCATGGACGGCCGGGCGTGTGATGCTCTGGGCGCGGCCGGTGTTTCGCACATACGTGAAGCGGCATGCTTCTTCAAGAGCACTCGGCTTCATGATCTCGCCTGCTACTTCTTCTCCACCCCTGCTTCACCACGGACCCCGTTCGCCCCTGCGCCCCCCCCCTCGTGACGCCTGGCACCCGCACACCCTGCCGCCCTCCCCCAGCTACAAGGCCTACCTGGACGACTTTGCGGCCTACTGCACGCAACTGGGCGGCACCACGGCGGAGGTCATGACAGACCTCCTGGCGTTCGAGGTGCGGACGGGAGGGCTGTGCACGCCTCCCGGCACGCCGCGAGCTGTGTTGACCTGGCGTGTGATGCGGCCTTGGCATGCGGGGCGGAAAGGCGCTGGCAAGCTTTGGCCCTTTCTACGCACCTGCTTGCCTGGCACAACCCACCATATGTGGCGGCCTTGGATGCCTCAAACGCCCCCCTCAAATGCACGCACACGCACGCACGCACACACACACACACACACATACAAACACACACATTCATCTTTTCCTCCCCCCACACACCCTGCCACTGCCGTCAATTTGTTGCAGGCTGACCGCCGCGCGCTCAACATCACGCTCAACTCCATCGGCACCGAGCTGACGCGCGACGACCGCAAGAAGCTGTACTCCAACTTTGGCCTGCTGTACCCCCACGGCCACAACGAGCTGTCCATCGCCGAGGACTTTGACCAGATCCGCGCGGCCATGGAGAAGGTCCCGGCGTACGCGTCGCTCTTCAACAAGGTGCGGGGGGGGGGGACTGGGTTGCGTGTTTTGGATGCGCAGTGGGCTGGCTAGCTGGCCGCGGCTGGCAACCGCCCAGTCGAGGTGGCGATGCATGCTTGCAGCCTCAAACCCGTGACGGCCGACACCTCTTCAAGCGCCTGCCGTCCCTCGCCATATGCCGCTCGCCTGTCCCCTGCGGTCCCCTTTGCACGAGTTCACTCTTCCCGCCCCAAGTGCCCTGGCGGCCGCCAAAGCCGGGTCCTCAGCTGACACCACCACTCCCCCACCCTTTGCCCCGCCCCCTTGCACACCCGACCACCGCGCCAGCTGGGCTACGGCGAGAGCCAGATGCTGGATAAGCTGCTGTACGAGGAGGAGGTCAAGCGCTGCGCCGCCTGCTACGAGCAGCAGTTCCACTACGGCGTGTTCTACTCCTACATGAAGCTGCGGGAGCAGGAGATCCGCAACATCATGTGGGTCAGCGAGTGCGTGGCGCAGGACCAGAAGAGCCGCGTCAACGACGGCATCGTGTTCCTGTTCTGACGCCGCTGGTGGCGCGGCCTCTTCACGCCACATCCGCCGTCGCGCGGACGGCTGGTGTACGTCTGCCTGTTGATGTTTCCCGTCGCCTGTTTGGGGGCTGCCTCCGCCGCGCTGCTGCCACTCCTTTTGATGTGCAAGCGCTTCGTGCACCGGGCGCACCTGGGACAACGCTGATTGCAACGGGGCGACCCCTCCTCCATGCCTCCCACTGCCTTGACTCACTTTAGTTACTGAACCGGTTCCTTGTGCAATTCCAAAGGAAATAAGACGGTGGCCAGGCGGCTCAGGCAGGCATTTGCAAGTAATCGAAGCAGAAACAGCAAGGGAGCGGGGCGGCTGGCCTTGAGTGCAATTTTGCAGCACACAGCCCGCCACAGGAACACAGCCCGCGCCTTGTTGCCAGCCATGCAATGCTGCACGAAATAACGCCACTGCCAGCACACCAGCTCCAAACACCATCAAACATGCAACAGCAGTGCTCACTTGTGGGTTTGCAAGCCACCAACAGATACTGCATCCGATATGCTGGTGTGCTTGGAGCGGCACCCCCCCCCCAAAAAAAGGTGCGGCGCCTGCGTTACCGCTTGCTACCGCCTCTTGCCGCTGCCGTTGCCTGTGGATCAAAGCCGACCTCCGTCATGACCGTGCGCATCTCCATCTCACTCGCCTTCTGCTCGATGATCCGCACAATGTCGTCAACGCGGTAGTCGGCGGTTTGCAGCTTGGCCTGAGCGTCATCCACAAACTGCAGCTCCACGAAGCTGCTACCCGGCTTGCCGGCCTCGTCTATGTTGAATTCCACTTGACAGGAAGGGTTGCTTTTACGCGCGGCGTCGCAGCCAACGCGCTGGAGTAGCTCGCGGGCTGAGGTCGCTCTGGGGTCGAGGGGAGAGAACTGGATGAACACGCGCTTCAAATGACGCAGCATGCCTGCTAGTGTCGTGGACGCGTGATCTCTGGATCTTCACTGATTGTTCGCGAACGGTTTCACAGGGTTGTATGTGACAGGCTTTTGCATTCTTTGGGTCAGACACTGGCGCCCGCAGTCGTCGTCTCACCCCGGTCACCCCCAGGTCCGCATTGCTATCGGAGCCCCGCGAACGCCGCGGCCAAACGCTTGCACAGGTCAGACTCGGGGCCACAATCTTCTTTGACAACATGCTGTCGATCACACTTGTTATTTGAGGCTCTTCGCCTCTGGATGTGACGGATCAATGGAGCCCTCACGCCCTCGTCGGCGTGCAGCAGCTGCGACGTTGTCGCTTCTGCTGTTCCTGGCGGCTGCAGGGCCTGTTGCCGCGCAGCCGCAGCCGGCCAAGCCCCAGCCCGCGGCGGGCGCCGCGGCCGCTTCGGGCACCGACGCGCCCGCAACCCTGGGCCCGCCGCCTCTAGACACCGGCCAGCTCGTTGCCCAGGCCGCCAGCAGCGACGCGCTAGCCGTGCCGGAGCCCGACGTCCCGCTCAGCCTGGTCGGGCCGCAGGATCCCCAGGCGTTCGCGGCGTCGCTGCCGCGCTGCTGGTGGGCACGGCAGGCGACACTCGTTGGCCAGTCCCTTGTCACCTACGATTGCAGGGTGAGCCCGGCGCCGGCGGCCACACAATCGCAGCCGCCGCCCCTGCGGCCGCGCGCACGCCCTCCGCAGAGCGCAGCGGCGCGTGGCGACATGCGGCGTGCCGCGCGACACTCGGTTGTGGCCGGCGCGCGCCGAGGGCCCCCGGCCAGTTGCGCCCCGCCGCCCGCGCCGGCCCCTCCGCCGCAGGTCCGGGCGCCTGGTTTGGACGGCAACGTCGCCTCACTGCTCGAGCGGCCTCTGACCAATGGCTACATACAGTGAGCATGCAGCCGCATGCCTTACACGGGCTCGTCAGGGGCCGGGCGCTCCGCGGCGCGCTCATGCGCGTGCGCCCCCCCCCCCCCCCC